CTTGAACTTGCGATCCTCCTGCCTCAGCCTCCCGAGTCACTGGGATGATGCCACTGCATCTGGTTATGTTGATGGAACTCTTTACCCATAAGGTGACTTAAAAGGAACCTGAACCTATAGGAAGCAGACTCCTGTGCACTCGGGTCCAGAGCAGCCCCAGGGAGGCCATGGGGATTGGCCCAGGGGGTTGCTCACCACATATCTATTGAGTGGGGTGAGCAGTTAATGTGGATGTTCCTGGAAGATAGTTTCTTCAGCTTGGGTCCCTGGCATGGGTTTCTTGGGGGGCAGATCCATCCTGCTGAGTGGAGTCCCTAATGGCAACGAGTATTTCCTTACCTGCTAGTCACTCTAGGCCAGGGCTTGGCAAACTTTTTCTATAAAGAGCTGAATAGTAAATCTTTTAGGCTTTGTGGGCCATATGGTGTGTGTCACAACTACTCAATTCTGCTTTTCTAGCATGAAAGCAGCCAGAGACAATTCATAAATGAATAATTGTGGCTGTGTTCCAATAAAACTTTTCTTACCAAACAGAAGGCAGATTAGGTAGACCAATGAGCCATACTTTGCTGACCCCTGACTGGGACCAAGTATTTTGTTGGCTTCAGGGAAGGCCCTTTAAGATGACCAGGAAAAGGAGACCACTAGGTCAGGGTTACGTTGCAGGCTTTGCCAGCACTTGCCTCTGTCTAGACCATCTCGGACTGTGTTTTTTTTCCTGTAAGGTTCAAAAGGGCAAAAGAAAGCCATCGAGTCTCAGTTGGAGGGCCTGACATTCTGTGTTGTTCTCCCAAGTCAGTTTCTTGGAACTTTTGTGCTTCTAGTTTACAGGAACATCATTTTATGTGCTGGGGGATTTCTGGAAGGACATACAGGGAGGTAAGGATGAACAGAAGCCTCTGTAGCCACAGTTGGGCTACATGAAGGACTGGGCTATTGTTCATGGCCATCTGGCCTCTAATAGGAAGGTGTATAATCTAGTGACTACAACTTCATGTTCCATAATTGAATTGCCTGGGTTTCAATTCCAGCTCTGCTGTATCACTTCTCTGGCCTCAGTTTCTACCACCTGTAGAATGGGGATAGTAATCGCCCTGACTGCCTAGGGGCCTTTGCAGATTCAGAGATCATGGGCAGCAGGGCCTAACAGTGTCAGGCACAAAGTCATGCTCAAGGCATATTGTCACTTGTGGTGCCATGAACAATGTTGTTATGAGTACTGGTATTCACAGGGGCTCTGCCCCACAGGCACAGGTAGGTCTGTCATAGTCCACTTGTGCTGGGTAGCTGGAGTGACTGCCTTACTTTTCTGTTCCGCTACATCTGCCATTACCTGCTGATGGCAACTCCCTGTGTCTCGGATGTCTTAAGAGAAGATCTGATCGGCTACACTGGGTGTTTTCTAGTACTGATCTTCCAATGGGCAGTTTTCACTGCAGGCCACCTGGTTAGCCTCTTTGCAGCTGATGGAGAAACCTCTTGGTTGGCCAGTTATGGCCAGAGCAACCCGTGAGTGAGGGCAGGAAGGGATCTTATGGAGACTTCCCAATGTGGTACGCCCAGGGACCCTGTTTCCCTCAGGAGCCCTTCCTGGGTTCTCTGAGGGAAATCGTGCTGTGCTTGCAGGGCCCTCTGTCCATCTCACACCACGAGGCTTTTTATGGATTGGATCTGCCATTCCAGATTCCCCCAAAGGTTCATGTGTGGAGGGCTTGGTCTCCAAGGCAGCAGTGTTCAGAAGTGGGGCTTTGGGGCAGTGATTGGATCATGAGGGCTCCGACCTCATCAGGGAATTCATCCACTGATAGATTCAGAGCTGAATGGACTTGAAAAGGTGGTGAAAACTGTAGGATATAGGACCCAGTTGACGAGTGGGTTCTTGGGGACATGCCATTGGGGACTATATCTTGTTCTGAGACCTTTCCTCCTTCTTTCTGCTTCCTAACTGCCATGAGGTAAGCAGCTCTGCCCCACTGTGACTTTATACCATAATTTTCTGCCTCACCACAAGCTCATAGCGATGGAGTCAGCCAACCATGGACTGAAACCTCTGCAACTTCGAGCCAAAACAAATCTTTCCTTCTCTAAGTTGATTTTCCCAAGTATTTTATCATAGTGATCGAAAACGGACAACACAAGGGTTCTTTCCTGGTTCTGCTGGGCTTCCTTTTCACTGTTCTTCTTGCAACCTGGAGCAGAAATTAATATCTACACTGGGAACTAGAAACGTTGGTCTCAAAGCAAATTTTTCTGGGATGGGTTCCCTTATAGCAATGCCTCTAGAGTAATGAAATAAAGACAGAGGAGTGACTCTGGCACCCACCCCTGGGATCCCAAATTCTCTTATCTGCCTGCATGTCCCTCCCCAAGACAGCCCCTCCCTTACTGAAACAGGAATTGGAGGTAAAAGGGGGTGCTTGGCAGAGCTTTAAAGTCTACTCATTCTCAGAACACCTAGAGGTAGAGCAGTTATTTCATAGGTGTCAGTACTGGCCTCTTGGATATCCTCTGGAGGACTGCCTCTAGAAGATCTGCCCTGAGACTCTTGGTAGACTTGGTAGGCTATCTGTCGAAGCTTCAGAATCCTTCCTTTAATTTCTTCAGCAAAGTCCCAGCCTGTTGACCTTTGGGTCCCTGTGCTGAGCCTGGCTCTGGATTTATCTACCCCACTGGGGCCAGATGCCTGACTTGTTAGCCATGCTGAATGGTTTTATTTGTTTTTGTTGTGCATTTTTATCATTTTTGTTCATGTGTCTGGAGGCTTTCCTTGGAAAATGATGGATGCGTTTTCATAAATCAAAAAAATAAATGAGAAAGTATATAAAGGCAAAAAATAGACCCAGACCTGGAATTTGCCATAGGAGCTGCCTGCTATTTCCCAGGGAGAATGTCCTTTTTGATTTTTTGCAAGGTCAGATCCTGACTTACTTCACAGAGCACGGTTTTTGGAACATTTTTTTTTTTTTTAATAATGATCACAATAATCAGGATGACAATTCCAACTGTGCCTGCTGTGGTGCTAAGTGCTTTTTATGTGTAATCATACTCGATCTCACAGCAATCTGAGGAGCCAGATTCTATTATTATCCCCATTGTACAGATGAGTAAAGAAAGATTCAAATGGTTTTATAATTTAACCAAATTTCTCATGGTTGGTAAGGAGTGGGATAGTGGGTTTCTCATGATCTTGATGGCTAAAATCCTGTTTTAGTGCTGGCTGGAGGTGCTGAGGGGCTGTGGGTTGTGGCTGTTTTGCCAGCTCTCCTGGAAAGCAGGTGGCTGGGGAAGGGAGAATAGACAGCTCCCAGATTGGAGTGGGGTGTTCATGGGCAGACGCTGTTCTCATCAGCTCTGTTCAGACTGCCCCTGGGCCAGAACACCAACCAGCCTTGTGGGTAGTACATTGGGGTAGTTTCCCACGACTCTTTCCCCATATCGCCTTGAACAATGTCTCCCTCCCCCAGGAGGCATCCCTCCTCCCACACTCCCCTGTTTTATTTCCTTGAGCCAAGACTCCCTTTCCTTCAGGGTAATTCTCTAGGACTAAGCCACGGGGTAGGGTCTGATGCAAACCAGAAGGCAAGGGCCGAGAGCCCACATATTGTCTCTACTGGTCACAAGTCCTCTGACTGTAAGTAACAGAACTTCCCTTGAGACCAGCTTAAGTAGAAAGGAGGGATGGGGTATGAACTGGTTCATGGGACTGGCAGTTAATGATTCTTCTTCTTGGGAAAGGATCCTGATTTCCCTCCTCAGTTCATGCAATCCTTTGCTAGTCAGAAGAACAAGGAACCCGATGGGCACAGGCTGCAAGCCCACTTCTCTGGAAGGGGAATGGATGACTCTGATGGACTTTGGGAATCAAAGTGAGAGAGAAAGAGGCCCACAGAAAAGGAGGCTCCTGTTCTTGGCTAGGGCATTTCTATGGCTTTTCTTCTATTCTATGCCTCCTGCTATAGTTTGGATCTTAAATGTCTCCCAAAGGCCCATATGCTAAATCCTTGGTCACCAGCCTGTGATGAAGGAGGTGGTGGAAACTTTAAGAGGTGGAGCCTAGTGGAAGCCCCTTCTCTTTCTAGCTCTCTGCTTCCCTGTTTATGTGAGGTGAATAGGCCTCCCCTACCATATGGTCCCACCATGATGTACTATGTTGCCACAGGCCCAAAGGCAACAAGGCCCAGTGACCATGGACTGCCCCTTTTGAAACTATAAGCCCCAATAAACTTTTCCTCCTATCAGTTGATCATCTCAGGTATTTGTCACAGTGAAGGAAAACTGACTAACACAGCTCCTTTCTTTGGGCTACACCATGCCTGGCCAAAGGACTGTTTAGAACAATAACTACATACATAGTTTGCAAAATATTTTTTCACAATCTTATAAGTGTGTGTGTCAATGGGCTAATTAGCCCAATCACTTGCTATTTCTTCATTTGTATGGCACCACCTGGCCCAGAATGTGTCACCCCCTTCTGAGTCCCAAGCAATGAGATAGGAGAATTGATCACCTTAACAAGACTTCCAATTAGAAATTCCAAGATTCTGCTCTGGAGCTTTAGCAAAGAAACCTTCTCCTTGACAGGATAGATGAAATTTTTTGGACTTTTTTTTTTCAAAGAAATAACAATAATAAAAAAAGAAAAACAAAACTTTTAGTAACTACCATGCACCTGTATGGCCAACCATTCTCTCTTTCTTCCCACCTGCTGACTCCATCAGCCACTCAGCTGTACCTAAGAAGCTGTTCAGAACTGTGCCAGATCCCCTCTTGTACTGTTCCAATTTGTTTTTCATGGGTGATTTTGCCTCTTTAAAGGTGTCATAAAGTCTGAGGACAGGAAGCCTATCTTCTGCTTCACTTTGCCAGGCGTGTGGTAGGTGTTGATAAGTCTTCTTTGGCTGGGGAGTTGTAATTGTGATCGTGTGTGTGTGTGTGTGTGTGTGTGTGTGAGTGTGTCCCTGTGCTCAGGGTGGTGATGGGGCTGGCCATGGCAAGTAAGTGCTCTGAGCTCTGAGATCCTCCTAGCACTGAGTTTTTGGGGACCCCTAAGTCACCTGTACCTGAGTTTCCTTTCTTGAGTGAGGTTCTGTTTTCTGAGGCCATTTCCAGTTGTCCCTTTCCTGTCACGGTGGGCCAACATGACAGTGCAATGCATTTCAGGTGTGCAATGGGAATGCCACTGTTCTCCATCACGGTTTTATAGTTACTTGGAGCCAACCGGAGGCCAAACAGTTCTGGCAGTTATTCAAACCTAGTTCCTACCAGTAACTTCCCAAGGTACAAGGATAGTTATGATACCTGGCCTGATCTTCTGGCTTCTCTCCAGCCACATTCCAGCCATGACTAATTTTCTGTTCATTTGAAATCTCTAGGTGGATGTCATGGGGAGGGTGTGCGGGAGTGAGGAGCAGCGGAAGGGAAGAGGAGCTGTCTGCCCCGGACAACACGATCGCCTGCTTTCTTCTGATGAGCTTCAGCGGGTTCATGGGATCTGATGTGGCCACATGAAAACATGCCTCAGAAAAAGTAAGCTGTCAGTGTTTTGAGGCTTTTCCGTTGGGGAGGGTGGGAAAGCGGTGGTCACTGGTGGTTCTTAGCCTGAGCTGGGGGAAAGGGAAGTATATGTGAGTCTCTGATAATTCTCTTCTCTTTCTTCCCCTCATTTTTGTTCTTCAATAAATCACTCAGGACAATCTGCTTCTCTTTAGTGGTGTGTTTTCCTAGGGTTCAGCCTTTGTTTGAAATTCTAGAACAACAGCGTTGCAGTAAATATGGTCAACCTACGTGTAATTATGCTGGTATGTCAACTTTGCCCCTCGGAGTCGGGTCTGTCTGGTTAACCAGAGGCCCCCCTGACTCAGAAATGAGACCTCCTGCAGGACCCTGTGGAGGGCTGACCCTGAGTCCTGCATCTGAGGGGGGGGTGAGCGAGCCCATAATTACACTCATTGTTTAGGTCGGGGCACAGGAGGGTTTACATTAGAGACCTCAGCTGGTACACAGAGGGCGCCTATGGAAAAACTGAGGGGTTCTCCTCCTCCCGCATCCCAGTCCCAGTGCTGCCTTGTCCAAGGGCTTTGGGTTTCGCAGACGCCTTCCGTGACTCCACTTTCTGACCACTCCTGATTAGAAGCTTGGATTTTCCCAGTTCCAAGAGACATCTCAACCCTGAGGTTTGGACTTTGAGCCTTTCGTCACAGAATGTAGGTCTTGGAAGGATCTGGAGACAATGGGCTGCGCTGGTGTCTCACAAATCTCATGTTCACACGGGTCACCTGGAGATCTTGCTCCAAAGCAGATTTGAATACAGTGGTGCTGGGATGGCGCTAGAAAGTCTGTTTCTAGAAAACTCCCTGGTAATGACCTACATTGGTCATTGGACTGTACTTTGGAGTAGCAGGACTCTAAGCTGTTATAATTTACAAACAATGAAAGGAAGATTTGGAGACTTGAAAGAACTTTCTGGGGCAGAGTAGAGGCACAAACCGTCTTCTTATCCATGATGTTGCCATGGCACCACCCTGGTGCCCCTGGAAGGGATAGTGTGTGTCTTAGCAGAGAAAACCCTTCTGTAGGTATGGGATCTGATGTCCTGGAGTTCATACCTGGGGTCCTGGAGCAGGTGACTTTCACAGATGCTCTGGAGTATATTTGGATTCTCAGACCTCTCAGGAAGAACCCATAGGCCTCTGAAGCTAGGAGTCTAGATGGAAATGGATCATGGTAGGTTCCTTCCTGGGGCCTTCAAAGGGCCTTTAAGGAAATGAAGGCATATTGGGCATGTTGTCTATAGAGAGATGTGTACATAACCAAACCCTAGCCCACTGATATGACAGGGCCTGCAGGAAACTTCCAGTAGGCAAATGTGATTTGGGGACAGTATACGTGTCTACATGGTAGTGAGACTGAGTGTTTTTAGTAGAAATCACAAGATTTTAGGCTCTTTCCCTGTTTTCACCTCCATGAGACTGTGAACAGCCTTTCTAGATCCTATCAATGAAACAGGTGGAGTGTGTTGTCTATCTGAACCCATGGATTCATGATCTCTTCTGAAATTTATTTTGACCCCAAAGTTAAAATTGTAGATTCTGTCATCTATCTATCTATCTGTCTGTCTGTCTATCTATCTATCTATCTATTATCTTTTTTCCTACCTTTACCTTTGTCAAGGTACTTTGGTAATATGTGTACACCTATGTAATGAAGAATTGATTTTACCTAAAGTGAGATCTGGCTTTTGCCCTCAGCTCCTGGGAGGCTTTGACCACTGGTCAGTCTAATAATGCTAATTATGATAGGTAACTGGGCACACTATATTGGTGTTAACTTCTAGAGGAACTGGGGACAAAGTATTGGGCTGAACCTCCACTGAAGGTTGGAGACTAAAAGCCATATTAATGTTATACAGTTGAATTCCAATACAAACTCTGGACACTGAAGGCTTCAGTCAGCGTCCCTGGTTAGCAATCCTCTATTGTCATACATTGTGATCAGGAAGAGGTGATGTGATTCCATGGGGAGAGGAAAACCAGAAGTCTTGATTTAGACCTCATGGGGACTCTGCCCTTTGTATCTCTTCCCTTTACTGATTTAAATTTGTATTTGTTTTCTTTAATACAGCTAGTCCTAAATATCATGCATCCCTGAGAACTGTGAATCATTCTGGTGAATTGCCAGAGCTGAGGTATTTGTGAGGACCCCCCAAATTCATAGACAGTGATGTGATGTGAAGATGGTCCTATCATGAGGGAGTTCTAGTGAGCTCTTCCCTCAAACTCTGTGGTTAGCTGAACTCTTGACAATAGCAATGTGTCGATTTCAAATATTCTGAGAAAACCAAACAAGGGTATAAATCTGTTCCTTTGACCAAAGCCTGCCTGGTTGTAGGGTAGATTAAGGAGTCTGATATATTAGTTAAGAGCCTGGGATTAGCAGAAGTACAGAACTGTAGGTGGGGTCAGGTATCACCAATTTCTGGTTGATATTGTCATTCTGCTTAGGTCTCTGAGCCTTCATTTCCCATCTGTAAAATGTACGAACCTCGAAGGTGTGTTGAGAGGATGACAAGAAATCACGTATGCAAAGCATAAGGTGAAATTCAGGAAGCACTCCATACATTATTATTACTTACGGCTTTGCTGGTGGTGTGATTTCCCTATTTAGTTATAATATCATTCTTATTAACATTTTGTCTTCTTCAAATGAGTATTTGAGTGGCTTGTATAGATGGAAATATGATAGCTTGATGAAATAAACCACCAAGAAGTAGAAGAAGATGTGTGGTTGGCAGTGATGGCAAAAGAGAGACTCCTGTGAGGGCTGGTTCTGGCAGAGGGAAGGGTTGTAAGATTGGGCCTGGCCATCTACGATTAGGAGAACTGTCACTTGAGACATGATGACATGTCTTTATAATAGGGAGCCAAGAGATGAGAACAGCAACTCTCTTGGCCTGGAGGAGGGGAGACAGCCAGGACCTACCTGCCACCTTGGACTCATTCATTCATCTCTAGATCTTCACCTATTCCTATTTGGTAAGCAGAGTGCTCACCAGTAGAGGCCTGTGCCATGCTATGAAGAGGTAGGGGAGAGAGGAGAGATGGCATTTGCTTTTGGAAACCTTCTTACTCACTTTTTCTACCTACTCTTTCTCTTCCTTTGTCACCTCTTGCCAGGTCTTTCCAGTGTCGATAACCTCTCCAATTCTCTTATTTTCTGCTGGTGTGTTATTTGAGAACTAGGAAGTTGACCAATAAGGATAAGAAATCTTTTTATGAGCTAAAAGCGTGAAATGATAGAGATAAAGATACGGTGATAAACTCCATTGATAAAAAGGGAATAAAATTAAATGACATGAAACAACAAAACCTCCATCCCAAACATTACACTCACATCTTAGAGGAGAACTGCTTGCTGTTCAAGGAGCTATCGCTGAGCACTCCAGAGTGCACATCTAGGGGCCGACCCCTGAATCAGGTACATGTGTCTGAATTATGGCTCTGATAATGATTAGAAGGTTCCTCAACCTCTCTAACATTTTAGTTTTCTTACCAGTAAGTTGGGGATAACAGTAATACCTATCTCTTAGGGTTCTTGGAAGGAACATGTGACTTAATAACATAAAGAGCCATTAGATATTGGTTTTATTGGTGTTTTAATATCAAAAAACCAATGAATAAAGACTCTATATTAGGACAGTTAAGTCTTTTGATCACATAATGCTTGTATTGCACAAGTTGACCACTGGCATCTTGGGATCCCTCAAAATTTAAAGCAGTGCCTGAGACTCAGGCAGAACAGATAAAAACTTGGAAAACAATAGCTTTTTGTGATTCACCAAATCTGATTTACAGTTGGAATGTGCATGGCACAGATCCTGTTTGGTTAAATAATGGAAACCAACATTCTCGTGCATTTGGCAATAATACGTTTGAGGTTCTGGGGATGAATAGTCCCTAGTTTGATGGTCTAGGTTGAGATTTCCCAGACTTCTCTTTGAACTTGACCTTTTCCTGCTGGATCATGAACCTGAACATGTTGAAAGACACAACGGAGAAACCTGTGATCAAACATCAAGACTGAGCTACGGAGCTTTGGATTAATCACAACTTTTGTGAGCCTCTGTTGTTCTATCTCTAAAATGAACTGGTTTCTTCATAGTAGTGCTAGGAGGACTACATGAGATGATGCATTTGCACTGTTTTGGAAATGATTAAGGATAATGCAAGTGTTTATTATTGTTTTGTACTTGAAACAAGTTGACTCATGTCATCGCTCCTAGAATGAGGCCCAGACAGGTTCATTGCCTTGCCCAAGACAAATTAAAGGGAGGATACCATGTGCCTTAGCGCGACTACTAGGCTGAACTTAGCAAGCATCTCCCACCCTTGTCCAGCATGTGGGTTCGATTGCCCTCTGATCAGGAACAGACGCCTGTATTTAGTCCATGGATTTTATGTCTGTTTGGTTCAACTCTAGGAATCTGGCCTACGTGTTGGGTTCAATTCCATTCTGTGTGCAATAGCTGGTTAATTTTGTAACTTAGGTCATTGTAAGCCTGCTTCTTTCATGAAATGTATAGTCTTCATTCTGTCTGTCTTAAAGGGAAGTATGAAAATAAAGACAACTAAAGGATTGAAAGTAAAAGCATTCCTTGTAAGGCATTTACATTCTGGAAGCAAGAGAGCATCATGATTAAGCACATAGACTCCTGAGTCAGGTGAATTTGCCTAACTCACAGCTCTGCCTCTCTCCATCAGTCCACTGAAACTCTTAAGGCCTCAGTTTTTCCATCTGTAAATTGGGGATAACAATAGTAAATTGGGGTTGTTGTCAGGATTAAATAACTTGATAATAATACAAAGAACTTCATTCACACAGTGTCAGGTCCAGATGGGAACTCTGTGGGTGGGTGTTAGCTCTCAAAGAGTTGGACATGTCCTTTATATCCCTTTAAAATGCAAGATTCCTACAGGTGCAAAGATGTTTGGGACCCTTTGGATCCTATTTTTCTGTAAGTCACTAGTAAG